AGTGGTCCTCACTGGTCACGCAGACGCGTCTTGGGTTGACGACCTGGCTACTCAGCGGTCATCACAGGGTTACACCTTCAGCCTTGGTTCCGGCTCTGTTTCGTGGCGGTCTACCCGCTCGTCTTCTGTTCTCAGCTCCAGCTGTGAGGCTGAGATCTACGCAGGGGCCATGGCTGCACAGGAGTTACGCTGGCTCACCTACCTGCTGTCTGACCTGGGAGAGCCGCCTCGTTCTCCTCCAGTTCTGTACGTAGACAACAAGGCCATGCTGGCCTTGTGTCGGGAGTACAGACTGGAGCACAGAACAAAGCACATTGCTCTTCGCTATTTTCTTGCTCGTGAGCTGCAGCAGCGTGGTTAGCTGCGCCTTGCTTACGTGGCCTCTCAGGCCAACACTGCTGATATCTTCACCAAGGCACTTCAGCCTTGTGATCATCAGCGCTTCTGTACTATGCTAAGTCTTGTGCCTACTTTTCCTCACTTGCTTACCTCTTGACTTTACTTGTACTGTGATCTATATATATACCTGCACTTGCTTGTTTACCTCATATATAATCATGCATGCGAACTGGCCTTGTGGCCTTTGAACCTGTGCTCGGAATGTGTGGTGACGTTGTGATCCACCCTGAGCTTGCTTTGCTTTGCTTTGCTTGACTGGTCTTATGACCCCTTGTTCTCCCCCACTTTGCCTATGGGGGTGTGTCAAACTTATATGCTATAGTCTGTTTAGGCTGTAGTGGGGTAGACACTATGGGGTATAGTTTCCTAGGGTTTCATATTTGTACCTTCCTCTCTTCTCTCATTCATTCCTGTTTCTTCACAATATCATATTGATTCCTGGTTCCAGAACCCACAAAACACCAGACATTTGACATGGGAACACGATCTTTGGTGGCGAACAAAAGAGATTGCGGTACCTCAGGTAGGCAATCTGCGGAACGATATTTTGGAAGAGGTGCATGCCACTAAATATGGGGGACACTTGGGCATGAATAAGACCCGATGGGCCCTACGAGATGTGTATTGGTGGCCAGGAGTCGGTAGTGATGTCCAACAGTTTGTGGCACGTTGTGACACGTGCGCACGTAACAAACCAGACACACAGAAGCCTGGTGGTTTGCTTCAACCACTTAAAATTCCGAGTGAACCTTGGGAAAGCGTTTCACTGGATTTCATCACCGACCTCCCAAGAACCCGTGATGGGTATACGGCGATACTCGTCTTTGTAGATCGCCTTACAAAAATGGTGCACTTCGTACCCACGACAACAGACGTGTCAGCAGAGGATACTGCTCGGTTGTTCGTGACACATGTGTTCCGCCTACACGGATTGCCACGTGTATTTGTGTCTGATCGCGACCCGCGCTTCACGAGTCGGTTATGGCGTGAAGTAACCGAGACACTAGGAACGAAGCTTAAGATGTCGTCAGCGTTCCATCCCCAGACAGATGGGCAAACGGAACGGACTAACCGCACGCTCGAGCAGATGCTTCGTTCTTTCATAAGCCCAACACAGGACAATTGGGACGAGTTGTTACCCATGGTCGAGTTTGCAGTTAACAACTCAGTGCATGATAGCACACATGAAAAACCATTTATCCTGAACTGTGGTCGGCATCCCACAACACCTGCTACGAATGGGATCGGCGGTTTGAAATTACCTGCCGCAAAGGATTTTGTGGGCAAGCAACGAGAGGCCCTAAAGTCGGCACGTCGTTGGTTGCAATTAGCCCAACAAAGGCAAAAATCCTATGCCGATATGAAACGCCGGGAAATCTCGTTCTCCGTTGGAGACAAAGTTTTGTTAAGCACGAAGAATATTCGGCTTAAGATCCCTGGTGCGAGAAAGTTGTTCCCTCGCTGGATTGGGCCCTTTGAGGTGATTCAACGAGTTGGTGCGGTAGCTTACAAGCTCAAGCTACCTGATACCCTACAGATTCACAATGTCTTCCATGTGTCTCTGTTAAGCAAGTACGTGGCAGAAGGTAAGTACTTACCACCACCAACAATCGTCCTAGGGGAGGAACTGTACTATGTAGTCGAACGAGTGCTTTTGCATCGTGATCGACAACGCGGCCGCAAGACTGTACGAGAGTTCCTCATTAAGTGGAAAGGCTATGGGCCTGAACACAACTCATGGGAGCCGGAAGAACATTTGACTGATACTGCGGTTCAGTCCTACATGGAAGACCTGGCTCAGCGAGCACTCCCACAACCAGCGGATGGTGTTGACCCTGGTCGTAATGTGGTTCGTCGTGCTCGCAGCACTCACCCTAAGAAGCACCCCACGGCAACGAGGACGTTGCCAGCTGGAGGGGGAGGAGTGTAACATCCGTACCCACTCACCCCTGGTTTCGATACATCGAACCAGAGGTGAAAGGGACAATGGGTTGAAATGTGATTGGTCACAAATTGAAGGGAAGCGAGACTTACGGGGAAATTGGGATTGATTGGAAAACCAACCAATCAGGTAGTCCCTACAAAACTGAACCTACGAAATTGGTTTGAGTGGTTCAAAACACAACCCACGTAAGTTCAACTCAGCACAATTCAACCAATCAGAAAGCAACCCCAAAAGTGAGTCGACAGCATTTCCGCCGCTCACTGCAAGTCCAACCAATGACAAACAAATACAGGTTTGTGATTGCTGTGCAATTCTTATCCTTGCTATCTAAAATATAATTGGTTGGGAACCTTGTTTGTTGCCACATGGGCAAGGCCCAAGGGAGTGCACCCCTCCTTGCCATGGGGAAGGTGGCTGCACCCCAAGGGGGTCTAGGGAAGGGGTCTGAAGCCTCTTGGCTCATTCTTCATTTCCTACTCCCAACTAATCAATTGGGAAACAGGATTGTCTTCTCCTCAACTCACCCTCCAAGATTTGTTACTGCATTTTCCCAGCAACTCTCAGACTTAGTCATCTCCAGGAGCTGTTACTCTCTTGTTGTGCTAGAAGCTATTAATATATGGGTAAATGCCCCTTTTTATTAGTAGATCCGTTACAAAGGGCGACGGGATGGCGAAGGCTCGACGACGGGACGCTGAAATGATGGCGATGGGAAGGGGCAGGGTGGAGCGGTCGAGGGCTCAGACGTAAGCCTAATTTACTTAGTAGTATGCGACCAATTATGTCGCAGTTGTCCTTTTCTACGAGCCGCACTCGTGCATTCTGCGCCCTTGGACCATCTCACTTGCCTTTTCGCGCCGTGCCTAATCTAAGATCGTACGAGCAACGTAGCACGTGGATTTGTCTGTTGTTGCTTAGAAAATGCTAGGCTACTAGACACACATCAGTGAGTTAGTTGCTTGTGCCGCATGGCTTTTCTGTCCAGTGAGTTTGTAGGCAAAATGCCTTCTGACTCATTGTGTTGGTTTAGGTCGCCCGGAGAGAGTTGCGACCCTAGTGTTCGCAAATTGGTTTCGCCAAAGAGAAGTGTTAGCGACCCTCCCGAACCTCATTCTGTCCGAACCAGGGCTGTCGAAGTCCCTGGGACCAAAACTTTGAGTCCTGAGGTGCTCAAATTTTGGCACTGATTTTCTCGGGCGCAGGCCAAAATCAAGGCTTAAAATCCGGGCTTCTAAGGAAAGTCACTTTTCCCTAATGTCCAAAGGAGGACGTGCCTTCTACTTAGCAGAGGAAGGTGCATACTCAGCGCTCAACAATCTTACAGCCTCTACATTGTAGGCAAAAAAAATGGGAGGAGGGAAGGGGTTCGTAGGCAAAGTCATGGAGGGGTGGGGGGGGCAGCGGCGGGATGGGGTGGGGGATGGGGGGGTGTGCTCAACACAGAAACCAAAACTTGGATTCAGGGGAAAGCTCAAACAAGGCCCTTAACTGTCACGGGTGCCATGCCATTCTAGCACTTTAAACGGTCGAGCTGCTCCAAGCGTAACCCGGAATGTTCAGGGCATTACGGCCAAATGGCCTTGCTTCTCCAGACCTGGTCCGAACCCAAACCAAGCGTTGACTCAGTTTTTGTAATTCAGGCTTCGGGTTTTAAAGCCCGTCGCAAGATTCTTGAACTTGAAGTCGCCAAAAACAGGGTTACCCTCTTTGGTTTGAAACACAACTCGCGAAGACGGGAAAAACTCTTGCGACGGTCGATCCTGATTGGTTTCTGAGCCCAGTCGCACAACCCATCCGACCATCGCCCACTCGGTTGCCCCGATCTCCTCTCACATACCGTATCTTGAAGACCAACTAGTACTCCTAGTTCACTAGGAGACTCACGTAACTAGTAAACGTGCGGCAGGGCAATAAAGGCTAGCTCAGGTAGAGGCGTTTTTTGTTGAACAACACTACTCACACAAGCGGAGCATCTCTCCTGACGCGCGCCAAGCCCCCGATTTTCTTTCCCCCCTTTTCCCCCTCCACCCCCAGTATCTGCTCCTCCTCTCCTCCGCCGTCTGGCGTTGCATCTGCCGCAAGTTGCGCCAGCGGACAGCTCTCCCATCGCGCGATCAGAACCGATTTCCCCCGCCCACGCAGTCTTTCTTCCGCCTCTCCACTCCCTCTCCGTCTTCCGCAGTCCCCGTGTCGAGTCGCCGCAGTACTCCCATATCGCGCTGTTTCGCCCTCTTATCAACGCTCCTTCCATCGACCCCGCATGTACAAGTTATGGCACGTCACCTATGTTAGAACTTTCTGTTGTGTTGTTGGTGCTTTCCGTTATCGTTTTTGCTGGAAGTTGGATTGTGCGAGGACATTCTCCCCTACTTGATCCTGATTGGCTGGCCAACAATCCTAGCGACACTCATTCCAGTCGCAGTTCTTTGCTTTGCAAATCCACTCATAATTCACTCTAATTTTCCTCAGCTTCAAATCCTCGTTCGCTGGTTCCATTGCATGTGTAACACCTACGGTAACCAAGGAAACCTGTCTACACAACATGGTATATGCACAAGTTGTAAACGAATGGTCGGAACCAGCGTCAATAAATCATTTTTGTACAGACGTAAGGCTTTGCCACTGAAAACACACCTTCCAAAGCTCCGGCTGGCAGCTACTCTCCATCAGATGTTGCTCCCAATTTCATTTGCTTCCGTAATCTGAGGGGACCGAGCATCACTCGGCACAGCTGCTCCTCCTCCACAGGCTTGGTCATGTACCCATCCATGCCCACCTGCGCGCACCGCTCCCTCGTTCCCGCACCAATATCCGCAGTCAACGCAAATATCAACACCCTATCCATATCTCGAACTCGCCCCTGCTGCTGCTGCTGCTGCTGCTGCTGCTGCTGCTGCACACCCTGCCTTTGCTGGTGTTGCTCGTTCCCCTGCTGAATCTGGCTCCCCCTCTTTGTCACTCCTCCCTCTCCCTTCTTCCCCTCCTCTTCCAGCAGAGGCTGCTGCTCCAAAACCTGCTGCCTATCCCACGTGGGACTAGTCAACTCCACCCACTTAGAGAACACCCCTCCCTTGGGAGTACCCACCCCAAGTCTCACCTCCCTGTGGGGCCCATTCCTAGGGCTACTAACAGCCACTGCTTTAGGCCTGACTCCACTGCCTCGTGCTGGGCTGTGTGCTGCTGCAGATGGCTCGGCCTTTAGGTTTGGACTGTTATTCACTGCAGCTTGCCGAGCCTGCAAGGCTGGGCTGAGCTTCACTCCCAAGTGCCCATCCTTGGGGGATGGGGTGTGCCTGTGCCCTGCTGCATCAGATTGCACAGCAGCCTGTGAGGGGGTGCACAGCCCAGCACCTAGCCCATCCAAATCCCCGCTGCTCAAGTGCCGCCGGTGCCGGTTGCTTCTGAGAAGCTGCAGGGGGGAGGCGGACGTGCGCGCTTGGAACGAGGGCGAACGAGTGTGGGTTGGGGCGTGCATCGGCGATTTCAGGGGGTGCAGAGCGGTTGGAGATCTGGCAGGGGTGGGTGGCTTAGGTAGCACTCCTCCCGTGCTTTCAGCTGCTGATGCTGCTGCTGATGCTGCTGCTAATGATCCTGGTAATCCTGTCTTCGGTGCTGCTGCTGATGTGTCTCGTGCTGAAACGGGAAGGGAGGCCCTCAGTTGCGCCCTCTGCGCTGGCACAGCCCCCCTTGCACACTCTCCCTCCCCTTCCGCCCTCCCACTCTCCTCCACCTCCGCCCTCTCCTCCCTTTCTGCCCGTTCCGCCCTCTGTGCACTCGCCTCTCTCTCCATCCGCCTCTCCCCTTCAAGCTTCCTGATGGCAGCTGTTGCTTCACACCCATCCATCTCGGGCATCTGCAAAGTCAACACATCTCATCAGTTCGCACGACCAAATGGAGTTGAAGTGTCCAAGCGACGGAGCCTTAAGTTTAAGAGCGTTTCAACACTTAGACATCTCAACACTGAGACATCTCAACACTGAGACATCTCAACACCGAGACATCTCAACACCGAGACATCTCAACACCGAGACATCTCAACACCGAGACATCTCAACACCGAGACATCTCAACACCGAGACATCTCAACTCCGAGACATCTCAACACCGAGACATCTCAACACCGAGACATCTCAACACTGAGACATCTCAACACTGAGACATCTCAACACTGAGACATCTCAACACTGAGACATCTCAACACTGAGACATCTCAACACTTAGACATCTCAACACTGAGACATCTCATCTCAACACTGAGACATCTCAACACTGCGACATCTCAACACTGAGACTCGGACGTACCTGCACGTCCATGAGTATGCAGTCAACGTCCCACCACCTGCCGTGGTAAGCCTAGGGAGACGTCTCACCAGTTCAGTCCAGACGTCTCACCAGTTCAGTCCAGACGTCTCACCAGTTCAGTCCAGACGTCTCACCAGTTCAGTCCAGACGTCTCACCAGTTCAGTCCAGACGCCTCACCAGTTCAGTCCAGACGTCTTGACAGATGTCTCAACAGTAAAGGCATCTCAGCAATCAACAACGCTTCTCAGCAGTTGACCGGGACACCTTAACACTCTGACATGTGAAAAACGTTGGGTTATGAGACGTTCCAAAGCCCAACTTTTATCACTCGGCAGTTTGACCGGGACACCTTAACACTTTGACATCTCACCACACCCACCTGCACGTTCATGAGAACACAGTCGATGTCCCACCCGCCCGACACGAGCCCAGAGAGACGCCTCGACCCTTCAGATCAGACAGACAGCTCAGTAGTCAACAGGTCTCAACATCTCAACACTTGAACAGCTCACCACACCCACCTGCACGTCCATGAGAATGCAGTCGATGTCCCACCCGCCGGTCACGAGCCTCTCAATGGCCTTCCTGCCGCCATCTACCATCTCCACCCCCACGCCGTACCGCTGCAGCATGCGCCCGATCACCTTGCGGTTCACTAGGTTGTCATCCACCTGGGAGTGCATGGGGGGTGGGGGGAAAGGAAGTTAGGGGCAGGTATGGGAGAACAGAGTGCGGGAAGAGCAGCGCTGCAGCATGCGCCCGATCACCTTGCGGTTCACTAGGTTGTCATCCACCTGGGAGGGGAGGGGGCGTATGGGAGAAAAGGCGAGCTCAGGAGAACATACAGAACCCTCATCCACGCCGTACCGCTGCAGCATGCGCCCGATCACCTTGCGGTTCACCCGATTGTCATCTACCTGGGGAGGGGAGGGTATGGGAGGATGGAGTGAGGGAAGAGCAGCGCTGCAGCGTGCGGCTAATCATCTTGCGTTTCACCGGATTGTTGTCCACCTGGAGGGGGGGAAGGAGGAAGGGAGGAAGGGGAGGGGGGGTACGGGAGGTGAGGTGGACGGGTGGGGGGGTGTATGGGAGAAGTGCAGAGTGCAGCGTGAGGAGAATGGTGTGAGGGAAGAGCAGTGTTGCAGCATGAGTCCAATCAGCTTGTTGTCGTCCACCTGGCAGTGCATGGGGTGACGAGGAGTAGCGAGCAGCGCAAGTGCTGCCAGCAGTACAACACAAGAAGCAGCAAGGCACAGGGAGCAACATGAGTTAAGGGAGCAAAGCAGACCGTACCACGAGCAGTGACACGCCCTGGAGCGCCTCTTGCAGCATCTGGAAACTAGCTGACTTGGGCTTCTGCTGCTGCTTACTCGCTGCTCCCCCTCCTCCACCCCCTCCTCCCACAGCAGCAGCGAGAGCAGCACGGGAGGCAGACGTGGTTCGGCTGTCCCGGCCTATCGGCCGCACCCCTCCCTCTGCGTCTGCTTCCTCTCTGTCCGCCCCACCCACGCCTGGCAGCCCACTCTTGGCTCTCCGCAACGAGCCAGCAGCAGGGTCAGCAGAAAAAGCAGCAGCAGCAGCAGCAACGCCAGCAGTCAAAGCAGCAGCAGCAGGAGAAGCAGCAACGGTAGCATAAGCAGAAACACCACTACCAGCAGCGGCAGCAACAGCAACAGCAGCGGCAGCAGCAGCGGCAGCAGCCACAGATGCATCTCTCCCTGCCGCCGCCACTGCTGCTGCCACTGCGCTGGCCGCCCCTGGTGGTGCTGAGTAAGCGCGTGCCGAGTCAATCCATGCTGAGCCACCTCGTGCTGAGTCAGCACGTGCCGAGTCACACCGTGCTGACTCAGCACATGCCGAGTCACTCCGTGCTAGGTTCACGCCTGTCGGATGAACCTGTGCCGAGTTACCTCGCACGAGGCCCATACACCCGCTGAAAGGCACAATCTCACTCTCCTCCTCCGCAGCACTGGCCGAGCCAGGCATCTGCAGGCCCGCCGAAGCAATGCCGACCTTCGAAAGACCAGAGAGGGAGCGGATAGAAGCACTGGAGGCAGATGCTGACGGGGGGAAGGCAGTCGGGAAGACAACATCCGCTGCCTCGGCTGACAGGGTGTCTGTGAGTCTTCCCCTGCTGCTCCCGCTGCCCTTGCTCTCGCCCCCGCTACTACTGCCGCTGCTGCTGATGTGGATGCTGGTGTTGGTGTTGGGGTTGGTGTTCGCATTCGTGACGTTTGCACCCACCTGCTGCGGCATGTGCCGGTTGCCGTGCCAGTCTATCCTATCAAAACAGGGGGCGTAACTGGCAGCAGCAGCATCAGCAGCACTACCAGCAGCAGCAGCAGCAGCAGCAGCAGCACCAACACCACCATCAAAACCAACACCACCACTACCAGCATCAGCACGACCAGCATCAGCAGCAGCAGCAGCAGCAGCAGCAGCACCACCACCACCACCACTACGGTCCATGACCTGAGCCAGGCACCCCATGAGAGCAGCATATCTCACCGGCTTCACCAGCACCGCGTCAAAACCCCTCCTCCTCGCCTCCCCCTCCTCCACCCTCTCCTGTGTCACCAGAATCGCCGCGTCCCACTGGGGCCCCCTGTGGAACACACCACGGGATACCATCACCCCACCATCCCCACTGCTGGCACCACCACTCATTCCACCGCTGCTGCTGTTCTTGCTACCACCACTGCCGCTGCTGCTGGTGTATGCAGGGTCAGTACCAGCTACAACCGCACTAGTACCTATAGCTGTGTCCCGATGCTGCTGCTGCTGCTGTTGGCGCCACAGCCAATCAGCCTCTACCAACACCACTCTACACCTCACCCCCTTCCCCTCTCCTTCCCTCCCCCCTTCACCCCCCACTTCCTCCCCATCCCCCACAACCTTCACCCCAACCTGCTCCAAATAATTCGCCACAATCTCCCGCCGCACCCCATTCCCGTCCAGCACGCGCGCCGAAACATTTCGGAACTGCCCGTCGCGGCACCCCGGCCGCAGCTGCCTGTGCCAGTCCGCCCCGTGGGTCGACTCTCTAGCCAAATCTGCGAGTGCTTGCAAATCCTTAGCTGACGCATTCCGGTCGAACCCCATCTGAAGCTCCACTGCCGATTGCCCCACGTTGCCTTCAACCCCCCCATTCCCACCCACACCAGCACCAGCACCAGCACCACCGGCATCAGGAGCGCCCCAGTAACTCGAAAACGCGCCCATCCCGTCGCGGCCTTTCGGGGTGATAGCCGCCACAGCAGCCTCCGCCTCCTCCGCCGCACTCGCACACGGAACCACAATGTCAAAATAAAACGTCGTGCCGACACCCGGGCGGCTGGAGAACGTCAGTTGCCCGCCCATGAGCTTCACGAGCTGGCGGGAAATGGCAAGACCAATCCCCGTGCCGCCGTGCGTGCGCGTGTTGGACGCGTCGGCCTGGACAAACGGCTTGAAGATGTGCCGCTGCACTCCGTAGGGAATCCCCACTCCTGTGTCCTCTACGGAGATCACCAGCCGCACGGACTTCTGCAGGACGGTTACCACGGCGGCTGAGCGGTTACCAGAAGCGGCACCACCACGGCCGGCAGTGGCACTGGCACCGGCACCAGCAGGAGCTGAGGCAGTACCAGCAGCAGCAGCAGACGAAGTGAGGCGAGAGCGCTGGTGGGTGGTGGCGGCTTTGGCTTGGGCGCGTAGGGCACAGATGGTGGCCCAACTGTTGCACGAGTCCACTGCCTCTAGCCCACTCAGCGTCGTGCTTGCTGCCATTGATGGGTACAGGCCTGCTGCTGCTGCTGCTGATGGTGCTGCTGATGGTGATTGTGGTGCTGCTGCTGGTGATGGTGATGGTGATGATGCACTGGGGTTGGCAGCAGCGGCGCCAGCAGCAGAGGTTGCGGTGCCAGCAACGGCGGGAAGAAAAGACGACGACGATGATGATGCCGCAGCAGCAGCAGCAGCAGAACCACCACCAGCACCACCACCACCCAACGGGCTTTCACTGAGTCTCCTTTCGACCCTCTTGAGATCTCCCGAACTCCCAGTCCCTTCCCGGGTCAACACCCTTCTCTCCCCTCGCATTCCACTCCCCCTGCTGCCGCTCTCCCTAGCACTTCCCGCACTTCCCGCACCCTTGCTGCCCACCAGCACTGGCGACCATTCTATACACGTCCGCCAGGCTTCAGCCCCCGCTCCTCCCCCGCACCCCACACCCAACGCCTCCTCCCTCCCTGCTGCCCGGCTGCCACCTGTCATGCTCTGATTGGCTGGTGGGGTTCCCCTGGGTGAGATGCGGGGTTTGGCTTGAGGGCTGTTGGTTTGGAGGCTGGGGGAGGGGAGAGGGACCACTTGGCCTGCTGACTTAGAATCCGATACAGATACCACCTGCCCTGCGGACTTCAACTCAGATACCACCTGCCCTGCCGACCGTGAATCAGAGTGACTCCCTCCTCCTGCCACTGCTGCTTTTGCTGCTGCAGCGGCTGTAGCAGCAGCCGGGCCTGTATCAGCAGCGCCTGTATCAGCAGTGGCTGTAGCAGCAGTGCCTGTAGCAGCAGCAGCAGCAGGAGGAGGAGGAGGAGGAGGAGTGGGTGTGGGGTGGGATGTGGGCATGCGCTTGGCCACGCCCTTGAGCACAATGACTCGCCGAATATCCTCTGTGAAGGGGGCCGTGCGCACACACACCAGGATGTGTCCTTGTTCAGTGAACTTGCACGCGTTGGACAGCACGTTGATCAGCACCTGGTGGGTTGAAGCGTGGAAGGGGGCAGGTGGGGGTGAGAAGGTGGAAATGAGGATGTGTCCACGTTCAGTGAACTTGCACGTGTTGGACAGAACGTTGATCAGCAACTGGTGGGGATGAGGGAGCAAGGGCAGTGGATGGCCGTTGAGTTGAACTTGACTCCATGTTCAGTGAATCTGGATGCTCTGACAGGCACACTGACCACGCTGCACTGCATTACATCGCATCACACCACGCTACCTCCACTGCACCACATTACACCGCATGTATACCGCACTCCATCCCACTTTACTGCATTCCACCGCACTGAACCGCACCTGTGGGAGCCGGAGAGAGTCCCCCAGAACAAGCTGTAGCACGGAGGGGTCGACATATGCCGCCACCTCCACCCTGCTCCACAACATGACAGCACCTTGTCCACTGCACCGACTGTGCCGCACTGCACCGCACTAGAGCGGTACCGCATGACACCACAACTATACCACAATGCAGCGCACTACACCGTACTCCACCGCACCTGTCGGAGCCTGAAAGAGTCCCCCAGAAAAAGCTGCGGCACGGAGGGGTCGACGTAAGCCGCCACCTCCAGTTGCAGCTTCTCCCTGAATCGCTCCACAAGCATGGCCAGCACCTCGTCCAGTGCACCTGTACTACACTAAACCGCACTGCACTGCATCACACCAGGCTAGACTGCATTCCACCGCACTGCACTGCATTCCACCACACTCCACCGCACCTGTCGGAGCCGGAGCGAGTCTCCCAGAACAAGCTGCGGAACGGAGGGGTCGACGTATGCTGCTACCTCCACTTGCGGCTTCTCTCTGAATCTCTCGACAAACATGGTCAGCACCTCGTCCACATCTCTCCGGATATCCAGAGGTGCCTTCTCCAGCACCATGCGGTTGGCCTGTGGGGTGAGAGCAGGGATGCATGGGAGGGAGACATGACTCTATGAACACTCCCTCCACAAACATGGTCAGCACCTCATCCACGTCCCTCCGGATATCCAGAGGGGCTTTCTCCAGCAACATGCGGTTGGCCTGTGGGGTGATAGTTTGCGGTGGTGGCATGGCATGGATACACAAACACAAACATGGTGACCACCTCGTCCACGTCCCTCGGGATGTCCAAAGGCGCCTTTTACAGTACCATGCGATTGGCCTGGGGGTGTTGGGTTGAGGAGGTGAGTGAGTACATGGATAAAAACGCACACACGCCAACCACCCTAAGGTGATGAGATGAGAGACGAGCGCCCGCCCGCTGGTGTGAGTGCTGCCCTGGGGGGCTTGCCATAGAACTCTACTCAAGCAGGAAACAAGCTGCCTTAGAAAGTTTACCTCGATCTTGGAGAGGTCAAGAATGTCGTTGATGAGTGACACGGGCGCCCTCCCGCTGGTGCAAGTGCTGCCCCCTGCAAGGGTGTCCCGCGGTCATTAGAAAAACGTACCTCGATCTTTGAGAGGTCAAGGATGTCGTTGATGAGAGACACGAGCGCCCGTCCGCTGGTGCGAGCCGTCTCGGCATAATCCAGCTGGGTAGCGTCCAGAGGCGTGTCCACCAGCAGATTCATCATGCCTGGCAGCATGGGTGACAGAGGTAGGAGGAGAGAGGGAGGGTGCAGAGATCGGAGCAGACATGAGAGCATGCATCGATGGGACCACCAGCATCGAGAAGGACAGCGTATCACTAAGGTAACAGATGTCCGATAAGTTTGCAGCCGATCAAGCCATTGAACTGTTGCATGTCATTTTTCGGTTCCGACTGCCGCTCGCCCGTGCGTTCACTACGAAGGAGCACGTGGAAAGAGCTCTTCTCGTGCAAAGAAAGGATGTCGCGAATTATACTGACGATGACTGGGAGAGGAAGTTCAACGAGATCTTAGGAGTGTGGAGTTAAAGCCGTATCTTCTTGATTGTAGTATCTACTCATTGAATAACTATGCAGTGTGACTTCATTGATAGTTTTTTAACCACGAATGAAGGTCGAACCACGAATGAAGGTCACACGGCATAGTTATTCAATGAGTATATACTAAAAACCAGGAAGATACGGCTTCAACTACGCACTCCTAGTATCAGTATAATTCGCGACATCCTTTCTTCGCATGAGAAGAGCTCATTCCACGTGCTCCCGCGTGGTGAACGTATGGGCGAGCGGCAGTCGAAACTGAAAAATGACATGCAGCACTTCAATGGCTTTACCAGCTGCAAACTTATTGGATATCTGTAACCTTTGTGATACCCTGTCTTTTTTTATTCTTAGACATGACTGCATGCACCGATAGGGCATGTCTACCAGCAGATTCATCATGCCTGGCGGGGAAAGTGAGCAGTTTCGATGCACACTCCTACAACAATGCACCGTGAGAACGAAAATTGCCAAGCTAGAAAATGGGGCAAAAAAAAAATCACAGATCTCGAAACTGCAGCTTGCGCGCTGCGGTATGAATCAAATCATTGAACCAAACAAACAAACAAACAAACAAACAAACCTACCCAAAACAACAACTTACCTATAACTGCGTTCGGTGGCGGCTCATGACAGCAAGAAAGTTGCTCTTGGCCTTGGCAGCGTGTTTTAAGACACCTCAACAGTCCCCCTTCCCTACCCCCTCCCCACCTTCCAACACTCTTACCTATAACTGAATTGAGCGGTGTGCGCAGCTCGTGGCTCATGACAATAAGGAAGGCTGCTCTTGGCCTTGGCGGCATGCTCAACCACGAGCTTAGCAGGCTTCATGCGGTCCTTGAGTCGCAGCATGCTCTGGTAGTCTCTCTCGTACAACCACCACCACCACCACTGCCACTACTACCACTACTAACAACACATTCAAACAAGAGCCAACTTACCTATAACTGAATTGAGCGGTGTGCGCAGCTCGTGGCTCATGACAATAAGGAAGGTTGCTCTTGGCCTTGGCGGCCTGCTCAACCACGAGCTTGGCAGCCTTCATGCGGTCCTTGAGTCGCAGCACGCTCTGGTAGTCTCTCTCGTACAACCACCACCACCACCATTGCCACTGCTACCACTACTAACAACACATTCAAACAAAAGCCCACTTACCTATAACTGAATTGAGCGGCGTGCGCAGCTCGTGGCTCATGACAGCAAGGAAGTTGCTCTTGGCCTTGGCGGCATGCTCAGCCACGAGCTTGGCGGCCTTCATGCGGTCCTTGAGTCACTGCATGCTTCGGTAGTCTAGCTCCAAGCTAGGCGCAAGCTGCGCACGAGAATCACCAGGTGCTTACCTATAACGGCGCTCAGTGGCATGCGCAGCTAGACATGAGCAAAAACTCGAACACCTGTTCGGTTCGCCTCGAACATGTTCGAGGCGAACCGAACTATTTTTTTTTTTTGAAAAAATAGTTCGAGGCGAACATGTTCGGTGTTCGCCCGAACATGTTCGCCGTTCGCCACCCAAGTTTCGGGGAGGTTGGACGAACACGAACATGTTCGTGTTCGTTTTGTGCATGACGCGAACACCAAAGTGTTCGCGTCAAAATTGGCCGCGACCAAATTCAGGTCGCGGCCAATTTGAGTTTGAGCTCATTTTTTGAGCTCAAACTCAAATCGTTTTTTGTTGGTTAGCCCTCCCTCCCTCAACCACCATAGGCTTCATCCCTAATAGCCACCACACACCGTTCCCTAACTATTACACGAACATTTCAACTAAGTAGTTCGTAGTAGTGAAGGGTAATTTCAGAAATCGCGAGGGGTTAGTTCGTAGTAGCTACGGGATCAATTTCGTAGAGGCTAATTCCCTAGTTGTAGGGGCGGGCATTTCTCCGTGCCACACGTACCTAGGAGTTCAATTAGGACCGTGCTATCCGTGGCTTGCGACCGTTCCTTAGGGGTTTTAGGGTTTTAAGGCCGAGAGCGGATTTATGGCTTCTAGCCAACATGGATCTGTAGAACGAGGTGCAGGCAGCGCTCAGGGCGGTACACCAGGTTCTCCACCACGACCTATGCAGGGGCGAGTAGGGGATGGACCTGCAGGAGCCGGCGCTTGTTTCGTCGGGGGGTTTCTTTCCGTAGCGGCGCCGACGTCCCGTCACTCGTTCCGTTACTCAGGCCCGCGACCCCCTCCTTCTGGGCAGACGCAGCCGGAGAGTGGCAGTGGGGAGGAGGATGAGGAGGAGGAGGGTGAGGGCGAGGAGGATGAGGACCATGAAGGGAGCGGGGATGACAGTGAGGCCGGGTGGGATCCCGAGACGCATGGCGGTGGGAAAGGGGGGGATGATGAGGAGGACCATGAGATGGATGGGTTGGAGCCAGAGGAGGTGGAGGAGGGGGTGGGAGAGGGTGGTGAAGGGGCGGCGACAGAGGCGGCCTCACAGCATGTGGCTGAAGGAGGAGGGAGCGTGGGGGTTAAGGTGGGGAGAAAGCGGGCATCCATTAGGATGCCGAAGCGGAGGAAGAGGGCGAGCAAGTTGAGGGAACGAGCATATCCCTGCACATTCACTGGGAAGCCCTTGGGCGAGGGTGTGGTCGCTCCGGAGTTCCTAGACGAGGACGGAGGGTCCGAGAGTAGTAAGGGGACTGGCTTAGTTGGTCATTTACGTTTACGTTTACGTACGTACGTGTACGGGTACGTACGTTTACGCGGCTGTTGGGTTGGAGGCCTAATGTACGGGCAGGCGAAAAAATTTCTGGGCTGCCCGAACATGTATATTTTCTCTATAGTTCTCCCTCGTAATCATGATTTCCATCATATAGTGTAAACATTCCATCATGTAGTGTACATTTAGATTTGACTCAACGAATTGGTTTGACTCGAAGTTGGAATTCGCCGAAACCAGTGAAGCTCGGCGGTGACGAAACTGCCGAGCGGGTGAGATTCGCTTACCTTGCAAACGAAGCAATCGCGATCTGAGTCAAACTGTTCGCAATGTTCTATCGCGAACAGTTTGCACACATTCGGATCTACTCCCACCACAATTTCCTCCCTCCTTCTCTCGACAGACTTAGCTATCGTGGTTCTACCGCCTTAGTCGACATAGTACGTAGGGTAGTCGCCACACCATAGCAACCCTAGCTAGCAACCTTCCTGTTTCTTACATTACTACTTTGAAAAACGTCGCGCCGTTTTGCTAACACGCTAACAGAGCACAGGTCCTCGAAAACTTTTTTTTTTTTAAGTTTTTTCAAAAACCGTTTTCGAAGAAATTTCAACGCGAACTTTTTTTTTTCTGACCTGCCCGGCGTACGTACACGTACGTACGCGTACGTACACGTAAACGTACATGTACGCGTACGTTACGTGTACGTGGGCTGAAATGGCGTAAATGACCAACTTAGGGGACTGGCAAGGGTAATAAAAAACCGGGGTGGCAAGTACAGATGTTCGGGCCTAAAGGGGCAGACGAGAAGCGTCAGTGCAAGATTTGCACTGACAGGATTTCGTGGAAGCAATCCACAACAACACCCGGCGAGCGGCACTTTGAGAGCTACCACACAGCGCACATGCACGTGTGGCATCACCGTTACCACACTCCGTCCGTTCACTTGCCTGGGGAGACGTTTCCTCGTGGGGGCTACAAGGGTGTGCCGGATGGCTACGTCGATGGGTGGCCGCATGCCAAGTCTTGGCCGCATCTCGCAAAGAAGAAAGGGACGGCGTCCGGTGGAGCTCCGGGGTCAGGCGGGATGGAGCGGTTCATGACAACCAAGCTGTCCACGGAGGAGCTACGGCAGGCGATCGCCAAGCAGGTGGTCACCTGCGACCTCCCCTTCCGCATCGTCGAGTCCGAGGCCGTGAGTGTCCCATGCCTGGTGTTTTGGCAGTATGTGTGTGGTTGACTATTTCATGCTTCTATTGTAATCCACCATTGACATGTCCACCATACACATGTCCACCATTCACATGTCCATCATTCACATGTCCACCATTCACATGTCCACCATTCACATCTCAGCACGTACAGTCACATCTCAGCACGTACAGTCACATCTCAGCACGTACAGTCACATCTCAGCACGTACAGTCACATCTCTGCACGTACAGTCACATCTCTGCACGTACAGTCACATCACATCTCAGCACGTACAGTCACATCTCAGCACGTACAGTCACATCTCAGCACGTACAGTCACATCTCTGCACGTACAGTCACATCTCTGCACGTACAGTCACATCACATCTCAGCACGTACAGTCACATCTCAGCACGTACAGTCACATCTCAGCACGTACAGTCACATCTCTGCACGTACAGTCACATCTCTGCACGTACAGTCCACCATTCACATATCCACCATTCACATGTCCACCATTCACATGTCCACCATTCACATATCCACCATTCACAGTTGTCTCTACTCTACCCTCCTTCAGTTTCGGGAGCTATTGATCCTGCTAAACCGCAACTGCGCACAGAAGAACTTCATCCCCTCGCGGTGGACGGTATCCCGCGACACTGTGGTCTATGCAACAGCAGCTCTCCAGTCCGCCATTGCGGAGTTGCTGGCGAAGGAGGGGGAGTTGGGGTGCATGGTGTCGATCACCATCGACATGTGGACGGCACCCAACAACAAGGCATGGCTAGTGGTGACAGGTCACTGGATAGACGAGAACTTCCAGCTGCGCACAATGGTGCTTGAGTTCCGTGAGATGCTCGGGCGGCATGGGGGCAGGGAGATGGCGCAGGTGGTTGAGGAGACGATTGTGCAGTGGGGGTTGGAGGGGCGTTGTCTTGGTTTCACGACAGACAACGCCTCTAGCAACATTGCCGCCTGCAGGCGGATGTCCGAGGAGGGTGGTGGTCAGTGCTTCTTCAGCTCGCGCATGCACTTCCGGTGAGTGTGGGATTGTGCGTGGGTTGGGCGTGCGGGAGTGTGGGCGTGTGTTTGCCTTTGTGGGCGTGTGTTTGCCTTTGTTGGTTTTGTGGCTCGCTCTAACCATGTGTCCTCCAACTTCCCCTTATCTCTTTCCCTAATGTTGTGTTCCGTGCACAGGTGCTTGGCACACGTGATCAACCTTGCAGTGCAGGCAGCACTGGCTGTGGATTCCATACGGAAGTTGCTGAAGATACTGAGAGAGATGGCGTCGTGGATTGGCTTCTCTCCACAGCGCTCGGGGTCTTTCTTGGGCCTACAGCGGACCTTGAACTCGCAGGCCAACCCCGCCACGCCGAAGCCGGCGTTGAAGCTGGTGCAGGACAGTCCTACGCGCTGGGGGTCGACCCACGACATGGTCGAGCGGGCGGGTGTTCTGCAGAACCCCATCACTGTCTTCTTCGCCCAAACACAGGTAACACTTGTGTTTTGTGTGGGTGTGGTGTGTTAGCACGTCTACACAATATTGTTGGTCATGCTTGTATGTTGCCGGCCGGATGCCATAATCCTCCTCCATGATCACAGTTTCCTTTCCCTCATACCTCCCCTCAAACCATTCCCTCTACCCGACAGGGCTTGTCGAAGACCGACAAGAAGAAGGTGGAGAGTCTGCGCCTGACAGACGCAGACTGGGAGACCCTGCAGGCGGTGAAGACATTCCTAAGCCCCTTCGCCAAGGTCTCCAAGGCAGCTGAGGGGGCGGCGTACCCGACTGTGTCGATGGTGGTGCCGTACTACAACGGCCTGATCGACGCCATGGAGTCGCAACTTGCCAAGGGGCCATCTCCGACGCTGCAGCCGATGATCGTGGCGGCGCTGAGCCACTTGAAGAAGTACGCGTACATCACCAGCAACGAGTACTGGATCGCCACCTTCTTGGACCCATCCATGAAGGCGGCGTGGTTCGACGACGCGCACTGGGAGAAGCTGCATCCCGAGACCGACAGGAGGGTGAGGCCGCGTCCGGCATCGGGCGAGGTGATCAAGCTGGTGCGCGACCGCGTGGCCGAGTACCAGGCCCGGGCTGCAGAGCTTGCTCCACGGCCGTCCCCACTTGCCCCCGTTGCGGAGGAGGAGGACGGAGACGAGGAGGAGGACGACAATGACGCGCAGTTTCTTCCTAGTCGCCGACGACTTGCGGCGCGTCTGTCGGCGAGCCAGGAGGCGGGGGCGGGTGGGATGGTGCAGGATGACGAGGTTAGCAGGTAATTGTCCGAGAGGGTGCGGTGCGACGTGACAGCGCTAGAGTACTGGCGCAGTGCCACCAACATGCAGACGCTGAGGCGCATGGCCCGGGATTATCTCGCCATCCCTGCCACGTCCGCTTCGAGTGAGCGGGTGTTCTCCCTTGGTCGCAACCTCATTTCCTGGAAGCGGCACCGCCTGGCCTCTCAGAGGACGCGAGCTGTCATGATTCTCAGATCATGGTACAGTTCACACCCTGGCCAGAGGATAGGCGAGGGCCGCCGACCGAGAGGCGTCGCACCACCAGAGTTCGCCATTGAGGGCGAGGGGGCAGCGGAGGATGACGAGGAGGAGGAGGAGGAGGGTGTGGAGACTGACGACACAGCTGGTGGAGAGGATGCTGTTGTTGGTAGTAGCAGTGCAGTGGCGCCTTAGTCACTTAGTGTAGGAATTTGTTAGACTTTGACATTTCCCTTCACAGTATGTGATGTTGTACTATTGGGTTCGTTGCATGCACACATATACACCCTGCACACATTTTGCTATCATCCTGAACCTTGAAAACTGTTTTCTGACATGTGTGACTATAGTGAATTTTCCCCTGGGCGAACACGAACATGTTCGTCTCGAACATGTTCGTGTTCGCCTGTTGAAAAAAATCGTTCGCCACTTAGGGCGAACGGCGAACACCAAGTTTCAGCTAATTAGTTCGCCGAACCGAACAGTGTTCGGTTCGGCAAAACTACATGTTCGAGGCTGGGCGAACTCGAACATGTTCGAGTTCGCCCTTTGCTCATGCCTATGCGCAGCTCATGGCTCATGACAGCAAGGAAGTTGCTCTTCGCCTTGGCGGCTTATTTTGCGACCCCACCCCCACGGCCCGCCACACGCACACTTACCTATAACGGCGTTCAGTGGCGTGCGCAGCTCATGGCTCATGACAGCAAGGAAGTTGCTCTTGGCCTTGGCAGCGTGCTCTGCGACGAGCTTGGCGGCCTTCATGCGGTCCTTGAGGCGCTGCATGCGCTGATAGTCTCGCTCCAGACAAACCAGATGGCAGCAGAGAGCCCACACGGCGAGCGCCAGCAACGAGTAGACCATGAGCACAAAGAGCGCCCAGAGGGACGGCCATAGGTAGGATACCGGAGGGGTGTCGTAGCTGGGTTTGGGAGCAGGGAGCGCATGGGGGCACAGTCAGGAAGAGCAAGGGGCGAAGCTAGAGGGTCGGGTGAGGGGTGGGGAAAGAGGGGAGGAGGAGTTGAGTCGCTGCATGCGCTGGTAGGCTCTCCAGGCGCACGCGGTGGCAGCAGAGCGCCCGCACGGCCAGCGCCAGCAGCGAGTAGACCACGAGCACAATGAGCGCCCAGAGGGACGGCCACAGGTAGGATACCGGAGGGGTGTCGTAGCTGGGTGGAGGGCAGGGGGGCAGGTCAAAGGTCAGGACAGGAGGCAGTAGCGAGTGCACCAGCAGCACCAAGAGCGCCCAGAGGGACGGCCACAGGTAGGACACGGGCGGGGTGTCGTAGCTGGGTGTAGGAGCAGGGAGAGGGTGGGGGCACTGTCCGGGTGCATCCAATCATGCATGCATGCATCCAAGCACACACCATCCAATCCATAAACCCATCACACACTATCCAAGCACACACCATCCAACCACACACTATCCAAGCACACACCATCCAACCACACACTATCCAAGCACACACCATCCAACCACACACTATCCAAGCACACACCATCCAACCACACACTATCCAAGCACACACCATCCAACCACACACTATCCAACCACACACTATCCAAGCACACACCATCCAACCACACACCATCCAACCACACACCATCCAACCACACACTATCCAACCACACACTATCCAAGCAGCAAAACGAACAAGCACTCACGCGCACTCCAGCTTGAAAGCACCAACAAAGTTCCCAAGGTCCAGCGATTGGCTGGTGTTTTGGGATATCCAAAAGAACAAAAACCAGCCGCACTCACGCGCACTCCAGCTCGAATACACCAACGGAGTTCCCAAGGTCCAGCAGGCGGGTCTCTGCAAAATACGTGCCGCCTGCCGTGCCACCCGCTGTGCCGCCTTCCGTGCCAACCGCCGTGCCATTGCTGTTGCACGCGACCCCATGCGGGCACCCCGCATGCACCAGGCGCCGAACGCCACCTGAAGAGTCAAACACTCGGCCCACCGCTGCACCTGTCAGCGGGTGGTGAGTCTGCTTCTTGGAACAATGGACGTGGGGGGAGGACAGGGAGTGGGGGGGTTGGCGCGAGGACAGAGGCGGGGTGGGGTGAGGGCAGGGGCGGGGTGGGGTGAGGACAGGGGCAGGGTGGGGTGAGGAAGGGGAGGGGTGGGGCAGAGGAGGGCAGGGTGTCGAGGGGGGATGGACAGGGAGGGAAAGGGAGAGGGCCAAGGCAAGGCGGAAAGGGAGATGGAGTTCAGGCCATGAGCGCCCAGCATGCACCAGCCGCCGCTCGTCACTTGAAGAGGCTTATGTGTATGTCTAATAAGGGTGTGAGTAACTATAAGCCCGCTGATATGCTTGCACTTACAGCACCAGCACCAGCACCAGCACCAGCACCAGCACCAGCACCAGCACCAGCACCAGCACCAGCAGCAGCAGCAGCACCAGCAGCAGCACCAGCAGCAGCACCAGCAGCAGCACCAGCAGCAGCAGCAGCAGCACCAGCACCAGCACCAGCAGCAGCAGCAGCAGCAGCAGCAGCAGCAGCAGCAGCAGCCCCAGCAGAAGCAAGAGCGGCAGCAAGAGCGGCAGCAGTGCAGCAGCAATGTGAGATTACCTTGAAGACCGGAGCCCACATGTTGGGCGTGTTCAGTGTTGCTACAATGAGCCCTCCTATTGACTGGCCCAGGTCACCCTCTGTCGCCCCTGCAACCCCACCAGCACTGGCACCAAACCCAGCAGCCCCACCAGCAGCACCAGCAGCAGCAGCAGCAGTGGCGGCGGCAGCGGCAGCAGAAGCAGCAGCAGCGGCGGCAGCAGCAGCGGTGGAGTTGCGGTAGACAGGAAAAAGCTTTATCTCCACTTCCCGGGATTGTCCCGCTGGTGGTGCTGCCAGCAGCCCTGACGGGCCCGCTCGAGGGACGTTCCGCGCAGCTTCCTTCAACTCAGGAACTGCAATAGGGGGAGAAGAGGCGGGTTGGAGGGGGGGTAAGGGTTGTGAGTGGCATTGCGGTAGATGGTGGGCTGAAGCTTGATATGCCCCTCCCAGTGTTGACTTTTATAGGCGCCTCAAGGGCGTGGGAGAGGGAGAAAAGGTTGATCTCCACTTCTCCATGTTGCCCTGCAGGTGGGGTTGCCAGCAGCCCTGATGGGCCCGCTCGGGGAACGTTCCTGACAACTTCCCTCAACTCAGGAACTGTCTAAAGGGGAGGTTTGGTGGGCATAGGACGGGGGAAGGAGGCAGGCAGCGGATGGCGTGGGAGAAGGTTGTGTTGGGAGAAGGATGGGTGGGCGCAGGATGGGTGGGCACAGGATGGGTGGGCGCAGGGTCGGTGGGAGCAGGATCGGTGGGAGCAGGGTCGGTGGGAGCAGGATCGGTGGGAGCAGGTTCGGGCTGAACGAAAAGCAGCAACGAGAGTTGGAATTTAAATGCGTATTTCAGAAAAGGTGGAGAGCACTGACTGGAGAGCATGTCGAGCCCCAGAAAGGACTGGCCGGGCATGGGAACGTAGCGGTCGGTGAAGAGCAGTGGCGCGTAGAGTGGCTGCTGCGGCATGCAGGACGCGTTGGGGGCGCTGGGAGGGGAGGGGATGGGTATGGAGGGGTACGGAGGGGTGCAGAGGGGTATGGAGGTGGATAAAGAGGGGATGAGCAGAGGACTGGCCGGGCATGGGAACGTAGCGGTCGGTGAAGAGCAGAGGCGCGTAGAATGGCTGCTGCGGCATGCAGGAGCCGTTGGGGGCGCTGTGGGATGCATTTTATGGGGGGCCGGTGTGGGATGGGGACCCAGGAGGGAAAAGGGGGGAGGGGAGAAAGAGGGGTCAGGGAGAAGGGCAGGAGCGGGGAGGGAGCGGGGAGGGAGCGGGGAGAGAGCGGGGAGGGGGCGGGGAGGGAGCGGGGAGGTAGCGGGGAGGGAGCGGGGTGAGGGGTCAGAGGAGAAGATATCAAAACATGGGAAGAGGAAAAGATGAAAAACAAAGAGGAGTGGAGGGACAAAGACCAAACGGCTGTTGTAGGTTAAGAAACAAAGATACTACTAGGTCAAGTGCTTGAGGGCGACTGCAGCCCAGCCCGACAAGGCAGCCAAAGCAGGCAGATACTACTACGAGCGGCGGAGTGCTCGTGGGAATTGATGCGTCAAGCGCTTTCAGTGCCAGAAGCTCCATTGGAGGGCATTCGTGAGTGCGTGCGTGTGTGTGTGTGCGAGTGAAGTGCCTAACAAACGCACTGTATACAGCTGCTCATGTTTTCCTGTTGCTGCTGCTGCTGCTGCCGCTGCTGCTGCCTCTGCCTCATGAGTGCTTCAAAGGCGTCCCGATCGGCGCTGGTGACGAAGGGCGCGAAGCCAACGTTGGAGGCAAAGGGGCGGGAGAAGTGCGTCTGGTTGATGTAGTCGCGGAACGTGGGCTGTTGTAGAGGGGCGTATGGGGCCCCAGGGGAAGAGGTGGGGGGCGAGTGGGCCAGGCGGGTGGATAAAAGAGCAAGGCAGTGATGCAAGAGCAAGGCAGTGATGCAAGAGCAAGGCAGTGATGCAAGAGCAAGGCAGTGATGCAAGCAAGGCAGTGATGCAAGAGCAAGGCAGTGATGCAAGCAAGGCAGTGATGCAAGAGCAAGGCAGTGATGCAAGAGCAAGGCAGTGATGCAAGAGCAAGGCAGTGATGCAAGCAAGGCAGTGATGCAAGAGCAAGGCAGTGATGCAAGCAAGGCAGTGATGCAAGAGCAAGGCAGTGATGCAAGAGCAAGGCAGTGATGCAAGAGCAAGGCAGTGATGCAAGAGCAAGGCAGTGATGCAAGAGCAAGGCAGTGATGCAAGAGCAAGGCAGTGATGCAAGAGCAAGGCAGTGATGCAAGAGCAAGGCAGTGATGCAAGAGCAAGGCAGTGATGCAAGAGCAAGGCAGTGATGCAAGAGCAAGGCAGTGATGCAAGAGCAAGGCAGTGATGCAAGAGCAAGGCAGTGATGCAAGAGCAAGGCAGTGATGCAAGAGCAGGCGAAGGGGCGGGAGAAGTGCGTCTGGTTGATGTAGTCGCGGAACGTGGGCTGGTGGGGGGTGTGAAGGGGGGAGCACATGGGGGACAGGTGGGGTGGGGAGGAACATGGGCGCAGGCACCCAAGGGGTGGGAGAAGTGCGTCTGGTTGGTGCAGTGGGGAAGCATGGCAGCATGGCATGGCAGCAAGGAATCACGGCAGTATTTCAGTACCTCGTCGAGTCTGGCGTCTCCTTGCTTCCCAAAGTAGAACACAGTCACCAGGCTCGACAGCAGCTGAATCTGCTCCAACCACATTCCAGCGCACGCACATCACACACACATCACACACACATCACACACACAGTGGAGGGGGATGGACCTCGAGGGCAGGTGGGAGAGAGAAGGAGATGTCAATATGAGGACGCAAGCAATTAGGCGGATATACAGGAGCATAACCACGATCACACATACACACACACACGCACGCACGCACGCACGCACGCACGCACGCACACACACACACACACACACACACACACACACACTCACACACCCACACCCACACCCACACCCGCGTTCGCGCCCCCACCCCCGCCCACGCCCACGCCCACACCCACGCCCACGCCCACGCCCACGCCCACGCCCACGCCCACGCCCACGCCCACGCCCGTACACAGAACACTGACCTCTTGCGAAGCCATCTGGAACGTGATCTCCAGCTGAGCCGACCAATCAATGCACTGGTTCGTTATCGCCTCCTGCCCGGGGTGGCGGTGGGGGGAAGGGGGAGGGGACGAGGGGGCGTGCAGGGGAAGGAAGGGGGCGAGGGGGTGTGGGGGTAAATGCTTGTATCACTTTTGAGCCGACCAATCAATGCACTGGTTCGTTATCGCCTCCTGCCCGGGGTCGCGGTGGGGAGAGTGAGGAGCGGCGGAAGGGGGCGTGAGGAGGGGGGTCGTGAGGAGGAGGGGGGAGGGGGCGCGAGGAGAGAAGGTGGGTGGGGGAGGGGGTGGGAGGGAAGGGGTTGAGGAGGACGGGGAGGGGGCGCGAGGAAAGTGGGGAGAGGGCGTGGGAAAGGGGGGAGGAAGCGAGCGGCCGTTCCGGGGGGGATGGGAAGGAAGCAAGGGGGCGTGTGTGGGAGGGAGCGAAGGGGCGTGGAGGGGGGCGATGCTTGTGTCGATTGTGCGAATTCTCGGAACGAGAGAAAATTCTTGGTGCGAAGGAGGGTGGGGGGGGGGGGGTGGGTGGAGGGGGCGTGGAAGGAGGGAAGGGAGCGAGGGGGCGTGGTGCGGAGTAGAGTAGGGCGGATGGGTGTGACGAAGAGGCGTGGGTAATCGGCGGGGTACGGCGAGGGGGCGTGGAGGGTGGGGAGGGGGTGGACATGGCGAAGGGAGATGGTGTGTGGGGTGGTGTGAGGGGGGGGGGCGCGAGGGGGATGTGTGAGCGAGGAGCACCAATGGTAACATGGTAACATTTCTGAACTGCTTGAAACAGGACGGATCAGCGATAGAAAAAATCGTGTTGCCACAAATTTCTTCCAACGGATAATAATTTTTTACTGAGGTTAAGGGTACCTTTGCCCCTTCTGCTGCGCCAGTTCCCCGCAAGCGCCGTACCTTTGCCCCTTCCGCTGCGCCAGCTCCCCGCAACCGTACCTTCGCGCTGTTCTGCCGCGCCAGTTTCACACCTGACGACGTACTTTTGCGCTGTTCCGCTGCCCCACCGTATCTTTGCGCTACTCCGCTGCGCCAGTTTCCCCCCGAACGCCTTACCTTTGCGCTGTTCCGCTGCGCCAGTTTCCCCCCCAAACGTCGTACCTTTGCGCTGTTCCGCTGCGCCACATAGCTCCCCCAGAACGCCAGCACCGCGATTCCCAGTCCCAGCGCCAACCAGCACATGCGCACGCCGACTTGCACCCAGCCCGGCGCAAGACCGAATAACCGCACCGCGCGTACAGTCCACCGCGAAAATCCCTTCCGCGCAACCCCTTCCCCGTCTTCCTCTTCTTCCGCCAATACGCCGCTGCCGCTGCCGCTGCCGCCGCCTCCGCCGCCGCCGCCGCCGCCTGTCGCGGCCGCTGACGGCGCCCATTGTACAGTGTTTCCGCGCTGTCGCGTCCCCCTTCCCCCTGCGCCAGGGAAGCACCCCGCGGAGGCGGAGGAGGCGGCGGAGGCGGGGGAACCGTCGCGCCTGCCAGGTTGATAACTCGAACGTTTGATTCTCGGGAAGCAACAGCAGGACACATCAGCAATGTCAATAACCAGGTCATCATTGCGAGTCGCCGCGTCGCCGCTAAACTCGGCTGCGGGAAAAGACGCTTCGGAGGAATCTAGGTCGAAATGCATTAGCTTATCGGATAACGTACTATCCTGTCCCCCATGCTGACTCGACCCCGCCGCCGGCGCCGTGACAATAAGCTGCCGTTGCTCCCCGTCTCTCTCATTCTGCTGCGAAACGCTTGAGTCGTTTCTGGGAATGGCTGCGACTCCACCCCTGTCACTCGGATTATCTCTTCTGCGAAAGCTCGACATTGGACAGTTTCTGGCGTACAGACAGCTGTAACTCGAGTTTGCGGAACCGCCGCCGCTTCTAGCCGCGGCAATCCGTTGCCTACAAGTTACGGACCTGGCGTTCTCAGAACGCTGGTTCGCGCGACGCACGTTTGCGCAAAGGTGTGCGGAACGCAAGTTTGCCCAGATGCAGGTTTGCGGAGCACTCGAATGGGGAACGCTTGTTCGCAGAACGTTTGGTTGCGGAAAGATTTGTTGCAGGACGCGAGTTTGCGGAACGCTGGGTTGCGGAACGCGGAACGCTTATGGAACGACGATTGCGGAAACTCGTTGCGAAACCTAGCAGTTAGCGGAACGTTCGGTCGGTGACCGGTCGGTGACCGTTGGGCGTGCTGGAAAATAGCACGAGCTGGCCGGCAGAGAGGAGTACTCGGCGCGAGGAGCATTTGATTGAAGTTAGGGTTTGCCGCTAGTGTAACTTCCTGCCCTATCCTACCTCCTTACAGCTGACAGGCAGATTAAACTATGCGTGTTAGGTGTGTCCCCAGCATAAGTGTTCATGTTCTTTCTGAGGTGAAGGATTGCGGAATGACGCTTATGGAACGACGATTGCGGAAACTCGTTGCGAAACCCAGCAGTTAGCGGAACGTTCGGTCGGTGACCGTTGGGCGTGCTGGAAAATAGCACGAGCTGGCCGGCAGAGAGGAGTACTCGGCGCGAGGAGCATTTGATTGAAGTTAGGGTTTGCCGCTAGTGTAACTTCCTGCCCTATCCTACCTCCTTACAGCTGACAAGGCAGATTAAACTGTGCGTGTTAGGTGTGTCCCCAGCATAAGTGTTCATGTTCAGTAAGATGACGTTCGTTACTGTGTGAAGGGAGCAGTGCAGACGCTCCGAAAGCCTTTCTGGTCTGGTCTGGTGCAATAAAGGAGCCAGGGGTGAAGGCTGTCTGCGACCAGAAGAACTGAATTTCGCCTAGGGGGTGGGTGGGGGAGCAGCGGCACCTCTAACACACACTGCAGAGCTAAACACAAGTCAACTGTACATTAATGCAACTCACCGCCGCCTACACATCTTACATGGACTGGCCTCTGGCACCAAAGCCAGCACGCGGCCATCATAATGACGCAGGTGACGTGCTTCCAGAAAAGGCTGGCATACGCTACTCGAATGGGAGGGCAGGGAAGGACCATTTTTGTCTCTTCCTTTTGTCCAAAGAGGTGACAGGTAACTTGTTTTCAAGAGCTCCTACCCAGAATACTCCCGAAATAAGAGTCACTCACAGTTTCAATCATCAGCGCTAATGGATTAAAAATCAAACCATGTGCTTAGGTAGGGACTATGTTTTGGTTAAGGGTTCGATTCCCAACTATTCGTTTCGGATGCGGTATTCACCTCTTTAGACTAATGCACCCAGGATGACACTCTCAGAAAGAGCCCAAACAAAAATGCACGAACCCTAACAGTACAACCAAAGAAGCCCATAACACATGGGAGGCTTGTTTTCCATCAAACTAAATCTCCCAGGATAAATACCCAGTACACCACGGCTGGCAAGAGCCAGACCTGTGATGGTACAGTCAATTCCATTGATGGCCTCCTAACAGTAAAATATACACAAATCCTCCTTTTTGAGGAAGCTGATATCAAGGGCTCATTTTTTTACCCTCGATTACCTAAATAGTGCATTGATCCAATTATCTGTGATCATGATGTTGTGGGGTGTTGAGGAGTAAGGCTGCTCGCGAATTGTGGAAAGCAAATCATAAAAAAAAATCTATACTACTCTTATGAAAGATTTCATAACTTATCCTTATTGCAATCTTCCATATTTTTTAGCTTGCATATATATATATAAGAACTATTTCCATAGTTACAATTTGTGTAATATTCCATTAATAAAAAACTTAAATGCACGCAACCAAATGTCACAAATTGTGTACAATATTTCTCGGCGTCATGTTCAAACTGGCGCTATTATATATTCTGCACACGATTCCGATCGTAGTATCATCGGAAGCTTCATTTAATGCTGACAAATAAATGTTGTTAAAACTAAGTCGACCATGGCATTCACCGAGTTCTAGATGATAAGTTGCAAACAGGTAATGACGTACACTATACCCATACTAGCTTAGAATCAATTCTAAGTCACTTTGTACAAATGGCGCGCTCAGGAGAGGCAGGCAAAACCAGGGCTGATTTTTCCTCTGGTAATTACCCTGATTTCAGGGTGATTTCAGACTTGTCACTTTCTGGATCCTGAGAAATCAGGTTTTTCACATTTTGGTCCCTGATCCATTCAGAGTATTGCTTTAGCGGACCCTGAAATTTTGTGTACACTCTCAGTGTAGGGTTTTCACGGACCCTGTCAATACAGAGTACGAGGCTTGTGGACCCTGAATGCGATGTTATCGGGGCGAAGTTTCTCGGAAATTTCCTCCTGATAACCCCTTCGCATTGATTTCAGTGCCCCCCACGTGCGTAATCCCCCCCCCCCCCCTCGCTTTATCGAGACGAAGTTTCTTCGAAGTTTCGTTCCCATACACCCACCATCTAGATCGGACGAATCTGTAATGTCAGATTTTAGGTTGCTGTTATTGGTCGAAATAGATGTGCTCTAACACAGCGCCAGTCACATCGCCACAGTGCCAGTCACTTCTGTCCTCGGTAAAGAAAGAGCGCGTTACTACGACCCTGATTTTCAATTCTCGACCCTGAACATTCAGAGTTCACTACTTCTCAACCCTGAGCAATCAGGGTGCTGTTTTCCTAGAAAATGTGCCTTCAGGGTTTTTTTTTTTTTTTTTTAGGTTGAAATCAGGGTACCTAAATTTGAAAAGTCAGCCCTGGGCAAAACGCCTCTTCCTGGTTCAATTAATTTCCACACTGAGTGCTATGTGATTGTAAAAGGTTAAATATGTATCCTCTCGATGCATGAACTTGTATTCGAGCGGAAAGCCTCACATTGGGCAGAGCCCTTTGGTCAACAATGGTCCACCATGTCAGGCTCCAATTCTGAAATTTACAACTTCCAACCAGGGAGGTATAGACATTGGAAAGTTTTCCTAATGCCTATACATTTAAAACGTTATCAATGTATGAACTCAACAGCCCGCTAGTTATGGGAGATTTACATGGAAGTTTTTGGGAACCCGAATAACACACCGAGCATCGAAATCGCTTGCGTTCGGCGTTGCTGAATTTTACAACCCTCGGCACTGCTGTTTCTTGCGCCTCGGTAGATGCCGCAATTCAGAATTGTATGCGGGCAGTTCGGAGTGAACCGGCTTCCTGCGGGCAGCTTGAGTCTTCCGGCCCTCGTCAAGCAGGCGAGGCTCGTGACAACCGCGCCTAGGTACACGTTTGGATTCCGAGTGTGGAGGGAAGGGAACTGACAGATATGGGAAGGGAACTGACAGATATGGGAAGGGGGACTGAAATACTCCTGAAATTCTCTTTGTACCTAAAGAAGTACCGCGAGAAAGAGTTTGGGGTTGTTGGGACATTTATAACTGTACCAGATCCAGCGGCTTGACTGACAAAGATGCAGTCGTTACTGAATATCTCTTGGGCTGGGAGCTTGCAGTGGTACGTGTAAGAAGTAGCAAGTTGATGCCAGCGTCAGGCCCTTGGTGCGATGTGAAACAAAATGAAACCATCAGCACGGTTTGTTTTCGACCACGACATTCCCTGGCTTATTGTAGTTTCCGGCAACACCAGAACTTGCCAGCGAGCCAAGGTGCTTCTGGGTTCTGTACACTTCCAACGACTAGAGCCACCGAACTAGTCGAAGTGGGCAAAGCCCTCCACTAGTTTGTAACGAAGGAATTTTCCTATATCTCTTACTGAGTCTCTCTACTACGCATAGTAGACCAGACTCGATCCTATAAAGCCCAAGTTGTTCATGTTTTAAAAGGTTGATGGAGAGGCAGTACAGGTTTTGGGCTGTGGCGAGAGTTTT